TGGCACATGGGAAGGTTTTCACACTGCCTCCTTTAGGCTACTTTAATTATTTGATCAATGTAGGAGCTTCTAAATAGCAACCTGAAGCACCTGATTAGGTGTCTAAAATGAGATCATATGAATATGCCCCGTCATCTTGGATAGCAAAAGAGATCATTGGCAAATGAATGAAGAAAACTACCTGGGGAAGCCAGATTACGTGAAGTAAGAAGCAGAACAATAGCATCTCTGCTGGTACTGTTGTGGGACTGAGAGACAAAATAGGCCTACCTGAAGTCAGTTTGCTCTCACTACAGGGAGCAGTGGCAGCATGAAACTTTCATTAACTTTTTGCTCCTTTGTGCTGGAACAGAGTTTAGCCTGAGGAGATATTAGGTTTGTTCTCATGACTTCACTTCAAAATGTATCCTCATCTCTGTGAAACAGCGGTTACCTGGTGTGCTCATGCTGCTGCACTCTTAATCTTCCAGGGCTACAACTAAGCAGTCAGATCAAGGGGTGCCTTGTGACATCATCTGCTGACAAATACGTGAAAATTTGGGATATCCTGGGAGACAGACCAAGTTTAATCCATTCCAGGAATATGAAAATGGTAGAGTAATACTCATTTCTTGATTCCAAGAAGGTTTATATATAAACTATGTCTGCTTAATCTTTTTTGTCTAACTTGCATCTTGTTTTGCATAACGTAACATCTTTTAGGGGAAAAAAAAAAAAATCACATCTGTGTATTCTGGGTAAATCATGCTCATCACAGTGTAGTATTCAATTCAACATGTAATTGGGAGACTCCTTCAAGGCCTCAGACCTGAATACCAGATACAAGGTTCCAAATAGAACTATAGAACAATGTGTATCTGCCAGGTTCAAGACAAAGATGTGGTTTACTGTTTGTAATTCGCAGCTCTTGACTTTAATTTTGTGTCTTTACAAAATAAGTTTCAGGAAACTTACAGAGCTTACGTTTGTTAAAACTTGCTTGGTGAAAATATTTTCAGATGACAAATTCATTTTAGGATGATATTTTTAAAAATAATCCTCCTCGTCCTGCCTCCCTCCCAGGGTGTTCTCTTCTGTGCGGCTTGCTGCCCTGACTTCCCGTTTGTTTTTGCCTTTGGAGGAGAGCGAGAAGGGCTGCGTGTTTGGGATATAAGCAAGATTTCTGCAGGTAACATTCTCATTTCTTTGAATCTGTGGTTCTCCCCTTGCCCCCAGGGTGTATTTGTATATTCGGTAATGCATTGCGGCTCTGAGAGAAACTAGGTTAATATTTTTAAATACCCCAAGACTGCATATGTATTCATGTTTTCAGCTTCAAAAAATGTGGTTTTTTTCTAACTTGGGGAACTGTGTTTGCCACACGATTTATTTTCTTGTAGCTGAAGTATAATACCTGATTTCTTGTAATACCTATGTTTTACTTTTTTCTTAATGTTCCTGGTGTAATCAAGTATCATATTCTTGAGTACCTGTAGGAATAAAAGTGAGGACTAGTTTTGATCGGTTGTCATAGCTACATGTAACTAAATGGCATGAGTTTTTGGAGCAGCCTTTTAAGAGCTTGGTGGAAACCAGAGAGACTAAAACCAGAAATGAATTATTTAAACTTAATGTTTTACTCTACAAAACTCATCCATTTCACAGTACTTAGGTACAGGAATTATGCACAGGGAAAGCTCTAGAGATGCTCTGGGGGAGAAATAACAGGACGTGTAATTTAAGTATCATATGTGAGAGATTGTTCTGACATGCAAGCTTCAACTCCCTACTCAGGCTAAGGGGGAGAGCTTTAAAACTGCACCAGGTTAGGATTTCAGTTCTGTGGTGTTCGCCGTGCTATACCTGCTGTACTGCTCTTGCCTCTGGAACAGTAACGTGTAAGCAATCCCCCGATCTGTGTTGCAGTGAATGAAGTTTTTGGAAACAGAGAGAGACTTGTTCTGGCTTCTGCCAACTCTGTGGCTTGCAGCTCTGTGGCCGGCAGTAGCAGCAACGATTCGGAGACGGCAATGGAATCGTGATGGACCAAACATCACAAAATCAAAGTAATTAACGGGACTACGACTCATGTGCATTCTACAAATCCCCCTGTTTGGTGACAGTTCATAGAAATGACTTTAGTGTCTTGCAATCTGCAGGCTGCTTCATCTCAAAGAAACATGGTGATGTGGTTAAGCTCTCAGTCAGCAGTTCTGAGTTCCTGCCTCTGTTACCGGCTTTGAAAGATTAAATCACTTGCTTTGGCCTGAGGTTAAGATCCCTGGCACAGGGGCTACTATATGTAAAGTTGATACATAAAATTAGTCACTAGAAAAATGTCCTGCTGGTACCAGAAGCTTGCTGAATACTGCAAAGAAGGTAAATATCTTCTAAAAGCATAAGGAAGAATACTTCAGACAACAGTTGTGTAGTAAATAAACAAAAGCTGAATGAAATTACAAGTGTAAATAGGTAATTTATCCTTAATTTAAGGCTAGATTTGCAGATTTCTAACACAGATTTTAAAAGTTCTTCTATGTAACTTTTTTAAGTCTTAAGAGTATTTCTTGGGCAGTAAGTTGGAGTCCCCGAGTAGAATCTTGAAATGTATCTGTAACACCTCAGATCACCAATATCAAACCAGAAATATCCCAGCTGTATCCCATCAGGATCAAGGGTTTCTTTTCCTGGGTTCCACAGCACCTGAAGCTTATTGACGTTGCCTGTGTATTGGGTTTTTCTTCAAGCTCCGAATGTAACATATATAAAGAGAATTTGAACTGAAGTAAGGAGCTCAGAAGAGGAGGAGAGACTGTCAGGACACAAAGCGAGGGCAGGGATCTCAGCTGGTCACTCACTGCTGAAAGCTGTCCATGTTACCTACTCATGTTCTTAAGCCCTCCCAGGCATTTCTGCCTGAAACCTGAAGGCACAGAGGAACATTTTGAGTATCAGCCTAACCACTGATGTAAACACTTCGTTTATAGCATCAGGAACTTAGTCAAGGAATGTGACTCGAACAGTTTCCTCACATTTAAAATGGACACCCAAGTGCCTTATCCGAGGCCAGAAGTTAAATGATACTCTCATCCTCCTGTGAAGTGCTCTTCCGCATATTGGAAGGTGTCTGTTAAAGTCCTGCTGCTGCAAAAATGCCCTGGTATTAAAGCAGCCAGTATCAAAGCAGCCATAGTGTCAGTGCTTTCCACCCTAGCTCATTGTAACTCATTCTGATGAGGTAAAGCAGATAAATTATATCATCAGCACAAACTACAAATGGGGAAAAGGCAGGGCTGCAGGTTTCCTTCCCATCCCTTGAAGTTAAGTGGCTGCGTCTACATCGAATTTAGCTGTTTCTAGTTCGGTGACAGGTGTTTAGCATGGCTCTGCAGGAACCAAGAATAAAGCAGCCATAGTGTCAGTGCATGGAGTGGGCTAATCGTACCACTGCTTTCCACCCTAGCTCATTGTAACTCATTCTGATGAGGTAAAGCAGATAAATTATATCATCAGCACAAACTACAAATGGGGAAAAGGCAGGGCTGCAGGTTTCCTTCCCATCCCTTGAAGTTAAGTGGCTGCGTCTACATCGAATTTAGCTGTTTCTAGTTCGGTGACAGGTGTTTAGCATGGCTCTGCAGGAACCAAGAATATTTTGGATGTGTTGGGATTCCTGCCTCAGTCCTTTGTCTGCCAAGCAACAGCAAACACTGTGTGGACAACCTGAACAACGTTTTGTGAAGCTTAAGAAGGTGAAAGCACCAGAACCACCTCTGTTCAAGTGCTCTCCACTGAAAAACTGCAAGTTTTTTCAAAGCTTTCATTTGAAATAAATGCTTCATGTTAAGCTCTTTGAGGGTGGTAATTTCTGTTATCATCTCTGGTATTAATTGACACTGTAGAAGTTGCTTTTTGTTTTAGGAAGAAATGGCATTACTGCAAGCAACGCATCTTCCCCTAGACTAAAGAAAATCCCATAACCTGTCTTTCTGGAGCTTTTTATTCGCATACTGATCTCAGAGGGCAAGCATTACGCATTTTCAGGTTTGAAGAACCCTGGGAGCTCTCTAGGAAATACAGTGTACAGGGAGCGGTACAGCTGAACTTAGGCCATTTAGGGCGAGAACTGGAGCCTCTTTCACTCCAGCTACCTCATCAGAGAACAGAGCTCAGCTTACTCTTCTTTTACAGCACAGCCAGAGGAGCTACACAGCAAATCTACAAGGTTTAAAGAGAAGTTCTTATCTGCGCCTGGTCATGGAGGTGCTCCTACCCACACCTTGTCCTGGGAAAGCTTGGGAGAGGCAGATGATGAAAAAGTGGTATTTCTCTTAGCATCATTATCAGAAATAGAAAACATTTTTTCAGAATGTGTAAATACTCAAAAAAAACATTAGAAAAGAGCCACATTTTTAATTTTTTTAAAAGAAAACAAAACAGTGAAATACATCTTCATTCCATAAATAATATTAGCAGCAAACCCTCCCGTCACTCTAGGTGGTAAAAGGTTTACAGCACAAGAAGTAATATATACTGTAAACGCTGTCTGAGCAACTGTAAGCCTCTTCCTTACTGATTCTATACAGCCTTTACCTCTTCACCTGCTTACATGTTCTAGTGAACTAGAATGAGAAGAGGCAGTAACGTCTCCAAAAGCCAATTTTTGATTTTCTGTAGCAGGGTAATTGCTTTGTCTGCAAATGCTGATTTCACTGGTGCTTTTTTTTTTTACCCAAAGATTTTTATTTTTAGATGGAAACCTGAGCATTGAGTCTTTGCTCTGTCCCAAACTACATCCTTGTTAGAAAGTATTAAAAAGAAAAATGCATCAGCTGCCACCACCATTTTGTTTGTTTGTTTTTCTTATTGTCATGGCTTTGGCAGTTAAGGACAGGTGGCTTACAGGTCACTGCACTCACTTCACTACATTTCTGGTTTGTGGCTCTTTTACTCAAAGGACTATGCAAGGTGTGTCATGTATCCCAGCAGTGGATGGATTAATCTGAGTGATTTGGAAAAGAAGTATGCACAGTGTGTGTGAAAAAAAAAAAATATCTCCTTGCCTCCTATTTCCTTCTTAGCAACTGTACACTTGTATGTCCATGATCCATTCTCATTCAGTGTTTTGGCTACAGAGTTTATTAAGCGGTGGTAGTGCGGAGACCAAAACGGAAGGAAAACTCCTCATTTGACATACACTGTTGACTGGGGAAACAAGGATGAGGGGTTGGGGTTTTGGGTTTTTTTTTTTTCCCTTCCCCAGTTTTAACATCCAAGAATTTTTTCCCTCTCTCTTCTCTTCATTTGTGTCCAGAGAGGGCATCCCCTGTTGAATAGACCCCGTTGTTAATCCTACAGTCTTCAGTCCTCATGGAGTCTATTAATTCCTCCTCTGAATCCTCTTCCTCTTCTTCCTCTGGGGCTGACAGGCTGGATGTGGGGCCTTTACATATTTTTAAGTGGCGAGTGAGGTGATATTTGGTTAGATAAGCCTTGGTGCATTTTTCACAGACATAGTCCCTCTTTCCTTCATGTGAATTGAGATGCTTCTTCAGGTGATTTGTCCTCAGAAACAGCTTGTCACACTTGGGGCACTTGATCTGACGTTCTCTGCAAGACAAGAAAAAGTTACAGTTTGCTCCTGCCGCAAGGCAGCTGATACTGTATTAAATAGTGGAGTGGCGGTGACAGGAAGGGTGAAAGGGTCAGTCTTACGCCTAAAGCTTACTTTTAATATACTTGAAGGAGAAGCAGACACGAAATAACAGCACTACTGCAGCACTAAAGTGTAAATACTGCTCAGTTTTTCTCTTGCCCAGTATGTACACAAAGCCCCTCTTCTCTGCACAACCCACCCCACCCCTCAACATCACTGGCAAAAGTCAGGCTTTTTGGATTAACTGCTAGCTTGCAACCAACTGTGGTTTTTCCCTGATGATAAATTAAAGAAGAAAGAATTCTACAAGAGTTTGGTTTGTATGTTTATTTTTTTGAGTAGGACCAAACTCTGGTTAAGCTCCGTGTTTTGGCAAGGGCAGAGAGCAAGAGTGTTAACAACCCTCAGCCTGTAAATGCTAAGCAGAGGCTTACCAGACTGCAACAGTCAAATTCTGTAGATGACTGTGCAAAACACCTCCCAGCAGTAGTGCTCCTGGCTCTGGCTGTAAGAACAAGCAGCAAAGCAAGTCTGTCTGTCTGCCTTGCTCATGCTAGCTGCACTATGCCGTCTCCTAGGCAGCGTGACAGAAGCTGCAATTGATTCTAAGTGAGTACAAGAACCAGATGCTGAAAACAAAATAAGCAGAGGGACTTGGCTTCAGGCAAGCAGCCTTTACGGGAGGACCTTGGATTGGGAGTAACTGAACAGGATGGAGAGATTCTCACAGCAAAAGGAAAGATCTGGCGTGGCAGAGAGCTGAGGGGGAGGACCTGGGGTGGGGATCTGCTCTGGGGGTGGGGATCACCCTGCAGGAGGAGCAGGAGACCAAGTGCATGAGTGAGACCCGGGGGGGTGGGGGGGAGGCAAGAGCTGGGAATGGCTGCACCCCACCCCTGGTGCAAACAGAGAGGGAGACATCACTAACAAGCTACTCTGAGAGAATAGCATTGAGGAGTTTAGGAATTTCATGGTCATGCTGGGATGTGGGAACAGTTCTCAGCCAAGAACTAAATGTGAATCAGCTAACCCCCTTGCTCTTCAAAATGATGAACACTCCAGAATGCCATTTCACAAGACAAGGTGCGTGCCTGGAATTTACTGTGTCATTAAAATACTGCAAACACTACAATAGGACAACTCAGCCAGTAACAAGGAATTTGTCCAGATTGGCCTAAGGAGTATAGGTTCATCCTCTAAAATGATGGAGAAGTCAAACTACTTGCAAACTGGAGATTTTTCTCAGGCTGTTCAGCTTCATTATTTATTGCACTCCAACACGTCCCGTGAGATCACTTACTGCGTGTGAGTGAGTACATGCTGCTTGAGGTCCTGCCTCCGCATGAATAGCTTTTCACAGTAATCGCACTTCAGATTCTTCTCCCCTGTGTGGATGACCATGTGTGACTCTAGGTGAGCCTTCTGGGTGAATGATTTGTCGCAGAGGGTACAGCGATAATTCTTCTGACCTAGGATTACGTACGTACACCCACAAATTGACAGTCAGTGTCCCAAGAAACACAGTAAGCAAACAAGCCTGACCACTTCTGAAAAAATAGAGTTTTACCCTGAAGAAAGGCAGGTTCTTTGTGAACAGGACATGTTTCCTCCTGCAGTTCCTTCAGACTCAGCATAAAGGCCTACCTAGTTACAGTCTCAATTTAGCTATGCAAAAAGCAGGCATCTGACTTCATTTCACCATTCCTAAAGCTTTTCATCCCCTGCCCCATACCCCCAAGCCAAAAAAATCCACTGCATGCTACTGTTTCGAACCACTGAGCCCTTCATGTGACGCACAGTTCTGCACTTTATCCTTCTAAACACCATTGACTCCTCTTCCTCCAGTGCTTGTGGTCAGTCAGCCTTTCCTCTAAGACACTTTCTGTTTCTTGTCTACACCAGCTGTGCCTCCCTGATATGTTCTGCATATCAAAATGTCACCAGTAGACATGTAAATTTTCCAGCAAAGAGATTCAGGCAAATATTTAACAAGACGAGGCTTATCCAAGATGAATTCTTGAGTAAAAATAATGGTAGCCTCCTTTTCAGTAGTAACCATGGTAGCCATCTAGTTACTGTACATTATGTACATCCCCATCTCCACTTATTTCCCACAGGAGCTGTATCTATCTCATGCCTTGCCAGAGCCCAACTACATCTGATGCACTGCACTGCCTTTGTCTAGAAAAATAAGTTCTCTTACCTAACAAACACACAGCTACAAAGCTCACTGGCTCTTTGCTAACTTCTAGGTTTTATCCCATTTTTCCACTTATCTGTAGTTCTTCCATTATTCTTTGCCAGAAATAGTTAGAAACCCCTGCACGCCACCGAATTCAGACTGAGTTTGAATACCACTTGAATCCCTACCCCACTGAGTATTCTGTGGCTGTGTATACCACATTTGCGCTTAATCAGTTTATTAAAACTCCTCACTACTGAGCCCACAGCTTCCTATGCTTGACTCAGGTGCACTGAACTCCCAGTTTTATTCCCTTTCCAGCTTTGTGATTTGCGCTCTGCGATTCCCAATAGCTATTTCAACCTTACTGAAAAAAAAGAGGCAAAAATATTCACACTGTCTATTGCTGGCCTGTACTTGTCCTTCATCTTCTTCCCTATCCTCACGCTATGTTAAATCCATGCCTTTTCGTATTTCCTCTCTTCTTACGCAGCTGAAAAAATCTTTCACTATTTTGTTTTCTTCTTTTAGCACTCGTTCACTGATCTGCTGGCAGTTCTCCCTTTATCCCCAAAGCCTCTAGTGATACCCAAATGCCCACAGAAGTCAACAGCATGTTCAGACTTAAGTTTTGATGAGTGACAGAGCTGAGCCTTATCCACATCAGTCTGACCCCACTTTTTACCAAGGCCTGTAGTGACAGGACAAAGCGCAACGGTTTTAAACTGAAAGAAGATAGATCTAGATTGGACATAAAGAAATTTTTTTACAACGAGGGTGGTGAGACACTAGCACAGGTTGCCCAGAGAAGTTGTGGATGCCCCACCACTGGAAATGTTCAAGGTCAGATTGGATGGAGCTCTGCGTGACCTGATCTAGTCAAAGGTGTCCCTGCCCACGGCAGGGGGGTTGGAGTAGATAATTTTTAAAGGTCCCTTCCAACCCAAAACATTCTATGATTCTATGTTTCTAAGAGCTTAGATTTATGGACATAAGCTATGCCCTGCCAACTGGTCAAGGAATCAGAGAGACCAGGTCCTGCCCCGTCGTTTTACTAGCTCAGGCATCTCTATATAAAGTCCCGAACCCTTACCTGTGTGTATCTTGAGGTGTGTCCGTAAGTTGCTAGGATCACTGAAAGCTTTGCTACAGAAATCGCACTTGTGCGGCTTCATGCCCATGTGCCCCATGAAGTGGACGTGGAGCTTGGAAGGGGAGATGAAAGCCTGGGGGCACATGGAGCACTTCCACTTCCTTTCCTTGCCGTGGCCTGGCCCATGGCTGCTGCTGTGCCCCTGACTGGGGAGGTGGTTGTGAATATGGCTGCTCAAATGGGCCTTGAAGTCCGCATAGGAAGCGCATTCCTTTCCGCAGTGGCAGATGTGCACGTCTGGATGTTCGGGGACGCCTTTGGGCACAAAAGCATCACTTTTAATGAGGCACAGCAAGGCCTAACAGAGCGTGAGTGTGATCCATGTTAACACTTCGTGTGTGGTAGCGAAGCTAGCTGCAGAGATTTTCACCCCTGTTCCTTTCCGCTCCAGTGCTTGCTTTTCAGCTCTTTTAGGTAGGCCATTTCAAATGTTTTGGGGGGCCAAACTTTGGAATGGTTTTGAGCACAGCTCCACCAAACCTAAATTATCACAACGAAAGGTGTGGGGGGTGACAGGAACATCTTCAGCTAGAAAAACTCCCTTAGCACCAAATGGATCAACAGAAGAAAACCAACCCTTTTTCTCTGAAACTGCGATCTTTTACTCCTGATCAGTGGAATTAGATAGTGAAACATTTCTTTTAAACGATGGTACTTCTGTGGTCATGAAATGTAAAAGGAAACTATGATGTGCATGACTAGGAACTGAGAAGGAACATAATGCATTCCCAAGTCACAGTGCCCAGAGACGGCACTAAAAGGGAATTCAAGCTGAGCACTCCCTGCAAAGCCAACAAAGATGAGTGCTTACTTACCAAGCTGTCGTGCATAGTCCCGACTGTAATAAAAGAGAAGCTCGTGTTCAGGTGGGATGTCCCGAGAGGTACAAAAGTACATTTTTCCATCGTGAGGATAAGCTACCAGATTCTGCTCTTCCCGGTTCCTACAGCAATAATGAGAGTTATGAAGAAAAGCCCTCTAGAAATAATGACTTTTTGAGAAAGAAAAAAAAAAAAGAAGGATATTCCTATAAATAGGTAATAAGAGAACCTCAATGCTTGTCAACACATTATAAAAACTTTCATGTCTGTCACTTCTGTCCTTGTTTGTTAAAGGAAAGCAAAGGAAAACTGGACTTTGAGAGCCAATCTGCTCCACCAAATGATATATTTTTCACACCACTGCGTTATCTTGCTGAGAAAATTATTAATAGACATTGAAGTGGGCTGAGAGAAGAGAGTTTATGATCTCTTAAGAAACTACAAAAATACATATATTTTTCTTATTAACCCCCTTAAGAAATAGAGAACACATGAGGGAGAAATAAGTATCAGTAAAGTCTTAAAGCAAAATTATCTTAAAAAAAAAACTCTTGAAAGGCATTGCCAAGATGTAATAATTAATCTTCTGAAGCTGTATCTTGCACATGTTTGTTCCCAGTATCTGAAACGAGAAGCTCTGCCCCACTGCAGTGGAAGATCAAGCATTAACTTCTTGACTCCTGCACATGGGAGCAATGAAATGAATTGCAGGGGAAACCTACTTTCTGTCACAGAGCAATAGGAAAGGTTCAGGCTTCTCAGTGGACCATGTATGGAGCAACACTGAAGCCAGTCTGGACAGTTTTCATCACAGGCTCCAGAAAGACTGAAAAGGACAGCTCTTGTGAGCAGGCCAAAAGAACCCAGGGACATTTTGCTAATAAAGTATTAAAATCAAAAAGACAATCAATGTCATCTTCACAGATGTATCCAAAAGGAATGGGACAGAGGGAAGGCAACAACAAGCTAATACACAGTAAGCTAATATAAAAAGGACATGGTTTGAAGTTTTAGAACAAGGGAAACAAAGTATGTGGGCAGATTTGGGGCTGTTTTACTACAGCATGTGTACTGGTTTCCCTGTGACATTCTCCACTGGCTGCTCTGTTTCATTCTTCCCACCAGTCCAAGATGCCTAGATAATTCCTGAAGGTCCCTTGGTCCCGAGCTCATTACCCATCTGGGCAGTCAGTGCTGCAGTGCACATTCTCCAGCACAGCCTCCTTTGAGCCCGCAGCTAAGACTCCAAGCTACTTAGCACAGTACAGGTGGTTCTCACCTGGCTTTGCGCACAAACATCATCCAGTTACATTCATTTTCATCAGTTGTAATGATGCAGAACTCCAGGACGCCATTGTGATAGATCTACCAGGAAAAACAAATGCAATCTTAGGACAAAACACGGTAGCAAACACAGTGAAAGCCAGCTTCTTGCTTTAAGAGAGGATGTGTTTACCTAAAACAAGCCAGGAGGTCTCCGTTGCCATTGCCAAGACCACAGCCCTGTTCCTACTCCTTACTTTCCCCTTCACACGGGAATCTTGACCTCTCTGCTACCCAGGAGGCTAACTGTTTATCAGCATCTTTCCCACACAGCACCTTTAGCTCCCATCAGAAATGCATTTGGCTGCTTTTCTTACAAGCTAAGTCTTGTGAATAATAATAAATAATAATATCTGGGCAAGCAGTACCTGGTTTATTTATATAGATCAATTTTTCTTTCTGAACATGATGTGAAAAAGAAAGCTTTAAAGCAGCTTTCCTTAAACAAATCATTCATCACCTCGGGGAACTTTCAATAAACAACAATACAAAACAAACAAACAACTGCTGCCTAGTAATTCATATACAATCTCTGCTGCAGTTCCACACAAATATGGGAAACCACATACAGCCCTTTGAAAGTAAAGGCATTAAAGGACTTCATTGTACTTCAGGATTGATTACCAGCATATTACATGGTATACAGCTCTGCTATGCTGATATTAAGTATTAAACAATCAAACTGCATTAATTTTTATTTTTGGCAAGGATGGTAATGTTAAAGCTGCTGTGTTATGCGGTGGCTTTCGCCAGATAAAGGCATGCCTGCAGACTCTGTGAGCCATAACGTCCACTGACCTTCCAGATGTGACTAGCTGCTTTGTCTGTCCAGTCAGCCACCTCCAGAGAATGGCTCTGCTGCCCAATCAAAGGTCCAAAACAAGTCCTTACAGGAATGGTTTCTCGTGTCCACACACCTATCAGTAGAAGACCAAAATCTGCAGAAATCAATTACTTAAACAACTAATCATGCATAACAAAGAGGTGGGAAGTTTATGAGATAATGCTCCAGGGGTAGTATCTAGGCAAAAGATCATCAAAGCTTCTACTTCACGTGTAAAACACACCTAAGGCAGAGACAAGAACCACCACCACCACATGACACTATTGGGAGCCGCTTTGTTTTAATTACAAATATTTATTTTGTTTGTCAAAAGCAAGTAATTTACTTTTTAGTAAGCTATAAAACTAAGATCCTAGCCACTTGTACCAATTAAAGTTTTCATGGCACTTTCTGCAGAAGCAGAAAATACTAGTTTCAGTAACTACATTTCGCCTACCTAATCCCCAGGGATTTCCAGAATTGTTGCTGGGCTTCTCCCCAGAGGCAGCTGTATTTCTGTCATGGGCAGAGGGATTCCTGCGTGTATATTATTTATTATTAAACATTTTTATATATATATAGGTCTACATGAACACACTGAATAGCTTTTAGGAATAAAATGGAAACTAGTGCAGCTTGAAAAGAACAGATGTAATCTACTCTCAACAAGCAGCATCGCTAAGCAAGCCGATAATCACATTCTTCTCTAGCCTTCAGATCCTTAGGGTATTGCACTGTACTCTTCGATTTCCAGGTGACAATGGTGTGAAATACAGTAACAAGGTCCACATCCAATGACAGGGTCACAGTCTACATGACAAATGTAAATGGGGGGGGGAAGAGACACTCATGATCAATTCTCCAATCAGAGTATCCAGAAGACCCACAGGCAGCAAATCAAGCTGATGAACAAGCAGACAGAAATCTCCTCCGTTATTTCTAATTGTTATCTTCCCCCAAACTCCAATTGCTGTAACGTTTCCATATCAAAGCTGTGCCTGGGTTGTTTAGCACACAATAAAATTAAACACCATACCTTGCTTGTGCTTGACCTTATCAAGAGTTTCAGTCATGCTCTGTGGCAGCACCCCTAGAGTCTAGCTGAAGTATAAGCAGTAACCAGAGTACAAAAAGCTCTTCCACAGCGTAAGTCAGGGTGATTACAGAAGAGGGAACCACCTCTCTATTGCAGTGTTTCTTTCCCACATTAAATTCCCTGCGGTTTTTGATTCCAAGCAATGAGTGTATTTTAAACTGCCGCATAGAAATCTGTAGTAATCTGATTCTTACCTGCTTCAGCTCCCATGATAGACTGCCGGAGGACAAGCTGCTTAGGGAGAGAAAGCCTGGCTCGGCTCTCTATTGGGGTGTCAGGGACAAAGGTGACGGGCCCGTGATCTGGGCAGTCTGATGGATATGCCTTGTCACACAGTGTGCACCCTGCAGAGAGGGGAAGGGACAACAGGGATTAAAAAGATGCAACAGCCCCCAAGGTGCAATCAGCTCCCTACCAATGTTTCAGCTCAGATCCTGGCAAAGGCTGCTTCCATCCAATTTAACTCGTCCACTTTACTAGCTTTCACTCAGAAGAATAAGAACCACACAGTCAGACTGGCACCAATGTACATGTCACTGTTCCTATCCAATTTAGATCAAATATGAGGATCTCCACCTGCCTTCCTGATGGTAACTTAATAGTTCAGACTCTAGACTATCCCTACAGGGGCAATCTGTCAATGGGACAGAGTTCATTCTTCATCACAACAGCTGCAAAACTGATGGTAAGTCTCCCCAGAGCTGGCAGTAATGCTGATGATGGAAGAGCCATTTTCTCTCTGATCACAAGTGAAATGACCTTTATTGGCAGAAAGATCCAAGCCATGCCAAACCAAACACTTGCTAACTGGTTATGTTTTTGGAATTTACCAGGAACACAAGAGTTTTCTTGCATATAGAACCTCAAGGATATTTATGCAAAGGAACAGTAAGGTCGTCTTTCTAAATTTTTTCTAATTTGAATCCACAAATCCCCTCATCTTCATTTAAATTCAGACAATATGCAAATCTTCATGGCAGCAAAAACCTGACCTCACTGCTGCTTTTGAAGGACCTACTGCAATAAACTCATGCAGTACACCTCTATGGGATGCCACTGAATGGAACAAAAACAAAAGCCCAAGAAGAATCAGTAGCATCACTTTCCCAATCTGTCATTCAGCATAAGTACTGCTGAAAAATAAACCACTGAAAGTCTTCCGTCTAATAAAATCAAGAAAAAGTACAGCATAAAATGCTCTCATCTAGAAAAACTACATCATTTTAATTTTCCATGATTGGAGCAACCAACACCTACTCAGCAACCACCCTCCTGATAAATCGTTCTTGATGCTCAGCTAATTAAGCAGAATCTCCACAAAGACCTTCTTTGGCCTCTTGATGGCCCAACTCCAGTATAAAAGACCTATCACAGAAGTAGTCTTCAGCAGGCATAAACAGCAGCTCCTTACTATTTGTTTGAAGAGATTTTTGGGACACTCCTTTCATACATCAGGGTACCAGAATCTGACCCCATAGAAAATACAGTTTAAGCAACTACCCAATTACAGATAGGAAGGTACTCAAGAATGGCTTCATGTGCACAGATGACATGTACGAGTACAGCAAGGACAACAACCAGACCTGAGTAATGAGAAACACTATTTTAGAACAGTTGTTTTTAAGCATTGCCTAGCACACACCACTACAGGTCTGCAGACTAGCCCCAAGGAGAGGCAAAGAGGAAGAAAAGGAAATTCTAGGCATGTGACACTACCACATGGAAAGGTTTAGGGACTCATACATTTTTAAGAAGTTGAAAAAAAAAATCCTGCATTCTACAGGAGGTGAAATATACCATTTCCTTTCCATTTCTGTCCTTGCCAAATAATGGGGGGAGGGGGGCAAAAAATCACAACGCTTACTTCTCTGATTTGGGTACCCAGAACTGTAAGCAAAGATGATCAAAAAAAGGGCTACTTAAAAGTTTCACAAACATGTAGGACTGTAGCAAAGGCACACTTTTTTCTTCCTGCTTAGGAACAGCATAAAACATTTTCTGAAAAAGATCCCGATTCCTGCCTTCTCTGTGAGGAAAAACCACCAAGAGGCTCTAAAACAACCCCTCCTCCTTGCTGTCACCTGTCTGGAGAAAAATTCATGTTTTATTCAGGAGAAGTTTAAAAACAACAACAAAAAGTTAAAATTCAAACCTTCCCAAGTCAAAGATCTATTTTGCAAATCACATGAAAGCACTAGGCATACAATAGCCTTTATAACATCCTACCTATGGGGAACATCACCTGAGAAACAGCTTAGGACTATTTTAAATATAGTGACAATAAACGGGCACATCAAATCTCACTTAGGTGAATAAGAGAAGTGATTTCACCATGAGCATGTTGGATACCATAGTATTTTGATCATTATTTGTTCAACATGCAACAGATGCTTGTAAGAACTTCTGAGTGCATCAACTGCAAAACTCTTCCTCTAGGAGTTGTAAATTCATCATAGTTCTACACCCACCTGATTTTAAGTTATATTTTATCCCACAGAATAAAAGTTTCAATTCAAACATCTGACTAGACACTTTGCACTAAACTGCACCTCTCCCATTGCTAACCAAGGCACTATTTCTTTCCATTTCTTAAAAAATGTTCTTCAGGCAAAGGTTGTTGTAAGGCTCTGGCAGTTGTAGGGCCAGACTGCGTGCAAGAGCAGCACTCAGCAATGCTACCACAACTAATAAAACTGAATATAAAAGCTGGCCTTACACTTCAGTGGCAAGAAGCCAGACATGCTGCAGGCGGAAGTTCAAATCTCTGTCCCAGCAAACGAGAACTTCACAGTTCTCAAACACCACTCCTTGAACAATGATGACAGGACTGAGAGGGTGCAACGTCCAGTGCTCCTCTCTTCCTAGGAGATCAACTAACCTCTGGACCGCAATCCTTTGATGAGAATAATCAGAAATATTAAAAACTTCCCTCCCTCTCTGCTGTTTTTTCCAGCAGGTCCTGTTGAGAACATCACTTTCATGACGATTTGTTCATGGTTTAATAAAAATTTTGCAAAATCATATAACGTCATACTCAACAACTATACCTACTTGATGAAATGTATGGCTTGTGGTGGTGTTTGTTGTTGGTTTGGTTTTTTTCAATGGAGCAAGAAGAGTCATTTGTGATGAGGCTTTGAAAAACAAAAGTCTCATTGCAAAGGATGATACCAGCATATCCACAAAAGGTAAGAGGTTCATAAAGAACTCAGCTGCCAACCTCAAGGCAACATGGGAGATGGATACAAAGAGAACGATGCTAAAACATCCTATTATGTCTACTTCCAAAGAGCATCATTTCAGTGAGGTTAATCTGCCACTGCAGATGTTCCAACTTCCGTGGACTTGTTAAGTAACTAAGTTTCTTGCACCAGAAATCTGTAAGACTAGCAACAAGAGTCCTGTCATCCCACCAGACAACAGCTATACAACAAACCCTACCCCAAGAAAGCAGGAAATGCCCACTCACATATGGTAAACAAGGTTGCCATGTTCTCCTTGTTCGAATTGGAGTCTTCCATTTGCAGAGAGGATGGTACAAAGGCAAGATTGTCTGCAGACACATCCACGTGACTTGGCCCCATGGCTACTTCCTGATTTATGGAAGACACTGCCACTGGCTCGAGGCTGAGGCCCACTTCGTGCAAGGCTACTGAGTCCAGGGAAGCTAGGTTGTGTGAGGTAGAGAGCGCCACACTCACGGAGTTGGTGCTCATGGCCACAGTATGAATGGAGTCATTTAGTGTGCTGTCCGATATTCCTGTCACCCGCCCGGCAATGTGGTCGGGCTCCATGACGACAGGGAGTTCCAAAGTGCTACCGTGAATGGGAATGACACCACCGTGTCCCACAGCGTCTGACGTCAAGTTACTCCCCACCGTGTCTACGGCTAAAGGTTCGTGGCTCCGGGAGCCATTCGGGATCTGTGAATGATCCCCGGCTACGTCATCCATCGTAAGCTCCTCTGTCATCCCATCTGTAGAGATGGGGCTGGTTACCCTCGAAACGCTCTCCATAGTGATTGTAGTATCCAGCGCGACCTCGTGGCTGTCACTAGGATGCAGATTTTGAGCACCATGCGTGTTCACTGTGCGGGAGTCCATGGAGACAATCCCTGGTTCCAGCCCCACGGTTCCACTGGGCTGGTAGGGATCTAGGGCCGATGGATTGCTGGAGACGGACAATGCCGGATTGCTATCAACATTTATAGTGTTGGGATGGATGTACTGCGGTGGAGGTCTGTCAGCCAAGTAAGATAAGATACCTGATAGAATGACAGGGAGAAAGAGAAGAGAGTGAGATGACATCAGTTTTCAAATCTTGAGCAAAAATACCCCATCATCACAGCATAGTATATTAAGACCTAGATCCTTGAAGACATGCTCTTTACATTCTGTCCACTTAAAAAACACTGATTCTAAAACATGGCTCACAAACATAGTTGACCGAACACTCTTGTCAAAGTATCATTTGACAACAAATACAGAGCTTCCATCCAACAGAGCAAGTCTCTAGTTATTTGTCTAGAACTCTGAACAGCCAAGTTTCTGGCAGTATCTAACCTAAGCTCCTTTAACCTGAATCAGAAAGAGGTTCTTCACATTTTAGGCATAATTTTTCATTCTCAAGAACTAGCTCATGAAGGACTGCCAGTGGAATCTAACATTTGATAACCCCTCGTTCATCTTTGCTAGGAGAAGTAGAAACAGTTCTCCATGATGTACCCTTTTGCTTCGGTATTTTAGTTTTAACAATGATTACTTCCTTCCTCTAAGAGTAAGTGACACAGCTGTCCATCTCTCAGGTCATCAACTGCAATTCTGAAGGACCAAGATAAGGTCTCTCAAAGGTATCATGAGTCATCTGCTCTCCTTCCTTACATGAAAAGTATGTTATTTCTCCTAAAACAATAGCCTAGTTAAATTTAAATCAGAAACCCTAACATCTTTTCTGGTAGTTCTGGAAAGATCCTTGATGTCAAACAACCTTGGAACTTAAGATACAAAGAAACACTAACCTGTATTTACATACTATCAACTTCTCTTGTTGGACAAAGCTAAAAAAAAAAATCTTTGGAGGAAATACATCAGCACATTCAAGTAAACAGTATTTCCAGCAGAGACAGATTTTGCAGATTCTGCAAGATCTGAGTCAGCATGTTTCTTTTTGGCCTTGAACCCTATAAGCCATTTGTACTGTAACAGTTTCCCATTCAAACATGTCCGTTATTACAAGCATGCAAGCATGGATACTCTTTCTGCAGCATAACCCCATTAAAAATGGCTAAGCCGAGAAATGGACAGTTTAATTTAATCAGCTGCATCCAACATTTCTGCATGCTATGCTTCCCTGTGGCTTGAACAAGGAGGATCCTTGAAGGCAGTAAGATGACGGACAGAAGAGTCCTATGAAACATGAGGCTAAACATCAAGCAGACTAGAAAGAAAAAACACATTTCTGCATAACTTATTCCAGCTCAGAAGAATGGCAAATACCTTCAGTCCTCAAATGCACTGTCTCCTCCTCTACTCTTTGCCCACAAAATGGGCAGGCATGTAATGCAGTAGGAACTCCTAAGCAGCTAGCAAGTTCAGCCACTAGTCACTGGGTAGTTGACGAGATCCAGGCTGCTATATTTCTTTTCCTAACCTAGGCTGAACCAACAACACTCACTGGGTGACCTCAAAGACGTTTATCTACCCCCTTCCACCCTGTCAATCTTAGCTACAAAACAAAACAAGGACTACATTTAAAGCTCAAATTTCTGTGTCTTCATATACTAATGTGTAAAATTCTATACTGATACTCTAAAACGCATGTGAGAGAGGAATCCAGCTAGAAATCAGTATGTTAGGCCTTTGGAAACCAACCTTGAACAAAAACGAAGAAAACCTATGCCATGGGCTAAAGAGATGGGAAAGAGCCCAAACTCCTGAGCATCTGATGGCTTGTTCTTTCTGAGCGTCTAAGTACTGTAACCTACCATCATGCATATATCAAGTATTGCTTCAGACTACAGGAGAAAAAAAAGCAGCAGTTTTTGAACTAGGACGATTTGAGATAGAAAGCAAGCATGCTTTGTTTTCTGTTAATCTTAAAAACAAACCAGCAGAAGGAGTGACCAGAGGTTCGGTTTAAGTAGAAAATACCCTGCAATTCTCTTCATATACATACACAGAAGCAGAGACCTGAAAATAAAGGTGTGTAAATGACACCACAGACTTCAGACAAACTCCAGGGATTTACAGCTCTGCAAAATAGTCTTGCCTGCTTCAGGACAGAAACAGGTGGCCCTTAAAACAATTTCTCTCTCTGTTCCCATCCATCAGCACCAGACCACTTACCAGGTAGAATGTGTCTGAAATAGCTGCTCTCCAGGTGAGGGTATGGTGGTGGAGGTAGGGTGTAGTTTCTCTCTGGTATACCACACATCACTCCTCGATCCCCAATACCCATTGGGAGCATCAGAGACAGAGCAGAAGGCAAGGAACTCAAGGAGGGGCCCAAGTTTGGAATTGCAACAGGCAAGCCTGCAAAAGAAAATGCCCATTTAAATTCAATGGAACTACTTGAGCTCATGAACACACAAGCTAACAAAGAGGTTACTAATTAGTAACTAATTCTACTAATTCCTCAGGAGCTCCCTATGGAAGTACAGTATGGTACTGTCAAAAAAGGTGGCAAGCTTCAAAGAAAGGATCACAGTTATCACAGCACTGAGAAGCATGCCTGAATGTGGCTACATCTTTTTTGGATACATTATGTAGGGCCCACTTCTACCTTACAATTGTAATGGACTTTTGTCTGTGTAGCCCCCTGAAAAAAAAAGCTAGGAAAAGAGTGTTGCTTTACAGGTGAAAAATCATTATTTTCACCTGAGTGAAGACAGACATAGATGGAGACAGATTTGCAGCTACAGTTCGTATTTCAAAGGAGTCTGCTACCACCCACCCACCCACAGTGCAAACCACCCCATTAGAGCAAAATGAGACTCCCATTAAGGCATAAGCCTGGTAAGCACACATGCCTTTTGCCTTGCCCACGTAAGCAATGGTTTATGGTCTACCCTTCCGCAATTCTACATCATTTCATTACCTGCTAAGGTCATGACTTGCTATCAGAGCAAGCACCACTACCCAGTTACGAACAATCCCGTGACAGTAAAACACAGAGCATGAGCTGCAATACCCTTTGTGGGATCTTTCCCCATTACCTGGTGCTGGTATGGCGTTGTGAGTGGGTGATGCTGCCAACCCCAAGTGACTCCCTGAGACTGGCAGGGCATTGCTCACAGAGGCTGAGGTCAGCTGGTCCATCCCTACAGGACTCAAGTTCATTTCATTCATTCTGGGAAGCAGGGAACAGATTGGGCAGGGGAAAAAGAAAGAGAAAGAGAAGCAAGAGCATTCCTGATTACTGACTGTACTCTAGTGAGAAAGGGCTGAGCAAACAACTCAAAATCTGATACTGACACATAAAAGTTCTGCCTTAGAAAGCTAAGCATAAAGCACATCAACCACTCACACTGTGATCACATCATGATCAATACATATTGATCATATTAGATAGGAATAACCAGGATTAAAAAGCCAGTTCAAAGAGACAAATCAGACCATAGCTTTTTCCTTGCCATCCAGGAAATAGTCTCACTCCTTGCAGTGAAAGCCACTGTGATTAAAGTATTGTGAACACAGATCAATCTGCAAGCTGAATGTCACAATTACTCGGACAATGGCATCTGATTTATATTTCATGACTTCTGGACACCACATTCATGTTCAAAAATCTAAGTCAGGGGAGAAGAGGGGGAAAGATCACTCAAAACTGGTAATGGACACAAAATGTTTAATTCACCATCAGTTTGAACCAGGCCAATAGTGACAAGAATCACCTCTGCAGAACAGCCATTGCATAGAGTTTTAACAGGCTGCCTCAGTCTGGTTCTGCAGACACGGCACATGCTCCTACCACATTAAAAGCTGGCATGGTGGGTGACGTTATTTCAGAGCGATCAACCAGTGGCTCTTGAGTACCTGCACCTCTCAAGCTATTCAAGTGGGCACACACCACACGAGTGGCCGTAGAGCTGTAGAAACTGCCAGGCTGTCAAACAACCCAAAACCCCAGTCTTGGGAAGAAACATGCCAGCTCAGGGCACACCCATCCTCTGGAGTCTCAAGCTGCACAAGCAGCCCGAACTAGTCCACGGGGATGGGGACACCAAGGACACATGGTCACTTCCCACTTGTCAACAACTTTGCAAGCTCTGTCTGACCTTAGCTCTGCCCACCCTGGCACTCCTGCCCACGCACCAGCTCTAATCAGTGGTTCGTAGGGCCAGAAAGACCGGCTGCCCCCCCAGCGGTCACAACCCCGGCAACAAGACTGAACAGCCTCCATGCTGACCTGAGCCTCTCACATGCCCTTTGCAAGCAGCAGGCCCGAGCTTTGCGGTACCGATGGACAGCTGGAGCTTGGATTGCCACTCCAGCAAGGAAAGGTACCGCTCACCCTGGAAAAACGGCCAAATACGCCGAACTCACGCAAGTTAACCCGAAGGTGCGCGCTGCACAAACGGAGTCGCCGACTTTCATCTCGCTTCTGCCCAGTTTTCACGCTGCACGCTCTCCTGCCCTTATCAACCGCCCCGC